CGGGTCCCTGCCCGTGAGCCCTCGCTGTGGCCCCTGGGCAGCGGCACCCGGGCTGCCAGAACGCCGCCACAGCCCGGGAAGGGGCCCCCTCAGCGCTGCCTCCCCCCACCACAGCCCCTTAGTTACTCCCAGCATTCGCAGGGACGCTCCCGGCCTTGTGAGCCCCCCCCGGAGTGCTCGGTCTCCCAGTGCAGAGCGTCCCTTGGGTCACAGAATTCGTCAGAATAACAGCCCCAGTTGTGAAAGGGCGTTTTCATGCTGCAGCCAGCCTCCCCTCGGAAAGCTCATCCACCAGTGCCCGAACGCTGCCCTCCCGCAGCCGCGTCGCCCCCACACCGCACGGTGCCACGCAGCACCCTGAGGGCAGCGGTGGAAGCAAATGAACGGACCCACAGGAACTGGGGGACAAGGCCTGGGGGCACCCGTGCTGCTGGGACTGGCTTTTACCTTTCCCAGTTGATGGGGGCCATCCACGGTTTTCCCATCATCATCTGGACCCCAGCTGCAAAGAGAGACACCATGAAGCGACCGCCCCAGCGCCGTGGACAGCGGCTCTTCCATTCCAGTTCACCCTTCCAGTGAGCTACAAGCAGGCACCAGCTGCTCCCAGCACTGCCACTGGGATCGGGGGGTGCTGTACTTTCCCAGCCGTCAGGTTGGCCCCTCGCTGCTGGGATATCGCTGACATGTTTGCACGGTGCCCCCGGGTCAGATTCCACTGGACAAAATGTTTGATTTTTATTTAACCGCCAGCTCTCACACATTCCAGTCCCTGTCACACGGCTCGGTTGGGGCTCCCCAACCACAGCGGGAGGCACGGTGCCCCTCCAGCTCTGCCAGCCCGTGGGACACGCTCTCCAGTCCTGGGAAGAGCGCTGGTCCTCTTCGCCTCACACGCCCAGACCCCCTCGAGGCCCGGCCGTGGAGCCCCCGCGCGCTGGGCGCAAGGCAGGGGCACGCAGCCGCCCCGGGAGGAGCCGGCGCGAGGGTTCAGCCGTGAGCCCCACGGCCCTTCGCTGGCAGGCGGGGTGGCCGGCGCGGGGTCCCCTCGGGGCTCACCTGCAGCTGTAGATGTCGTTGATCTGATAGTGCTTGTTGAAGGCGATGGCCTCCATGCTGTCGGTGAGGGGCCCGTCCAGCACGCGGATGCCTGCGGGACAGCGAAACGTGAGCCGAGGGGATCAAAGCAAGCTGTCTGAACGGCGCCAACAAATTCCTCGGCAGGTTCACACCGCGGACACCCGCTCTCCCCGCCTGATGGAGCCAGATCTCTCGGAGCCGTGACCCTGCCGAGCAGCCCACGGGAGCTACGTGAGCGTGAGGGACCGGAGGTTCACCCTCTGGCACAGCTCTGTGCCCCCCACCACACACGGCTTTTCTGCGAGCAGGTCCCCCGCTCCCACTGCCAGAACCGAGCCGGCACAACCGGCACCGCCCGGCGCTGAGCCCCCCTGCCCAGAGCGCGGCTCCCCAGGGGCCTCCTCTCATCCCACCCCCCGTTACCCTGCCTGCAGCCATCGCTTCCCCTACCAAGGCGCCCAAGAGCCGCGCTCGGGAGGGATGGACGGACGGCACGCTCGCCTGCCGAGGGGAGGTCAACAGACGGGAACAGCCCAAGCCCTGCGCTCGGCCGGAGGTCGAGGCCACTTCTCCAGCAGCGCTGAGCTCTCAGTGACCCCCACCACCGGTAATTACTGTTTGGCATCACAGTTTAGGCTGGCAAAGGGTTCTACAAACGGAAACCAGGCCTGCGTCTCGGAGAAGCCAATTTATAAACAGCGCAGCCGCCCACCCGTCTCAGCTCTCGCCCGCCACGGCACACGCGGCTTTTCGCTGTCGCGTTGGGGCCGCCCCCGCGCAGGAGCGGAGCAGCCAGCTCGGGACACGCCGCTCTCCCCGCTAAAGCCCGGGGAAGTTAAACCCTCCCTAGTCCCTGCACTGGGGTTAAGCTCAGCTTTCCTTCTGCTGGCCGGGCTTTGCTAGCTCTGCCTGCAGCCTCCCAGGCTGGCTGGAGCCATCGGCGCGGCTGCTCGGGGAGTGCCCAGAGCCGCCCACAGCACCCCTGGGTGAGCTTCCCCACTCCCAGCGCCCTGCGGGCACCCCGGGGCCCACCCGCTCCCCTCCTGCCGCTGCCACAGCCGGGGAACGTGGCACCATCTGCCAGGAACGGAGCGAATCCTGTCCCAGGCTGCGGCACAGCAGCACCATCCCCTGCTCTGCCAGAGACACACCCTGCCTGGCACCGGGGTCTCACTCCTCCCAGACGGAGCAGGATTGCTGCGGAGACAACCCGGGCCACAGCGGCACTGTCACCAGCCTCGCAGAGGAGACGGACACGGCCAGACTTTGTGCTCTGGCCTCTGCACAAGGCGTCGTGCCAGGAGTCCTCTGGAAAAGGCCCCACCCCGCTCTGCCAGGAACCAGCGACGCACGCAGCGCATCGGGGGGTCGCAGCACGCACACACCTGCGATGCGGCTCCCGTAGGCAACTCCCACCGTGCAGAAGCTGTTGTTGGGCACGGCCGCGATCTCCCCGGCACAGCGGGTGCCATGGTGGTTGCCGTTCTCCTCGTCAGGGTGAGGCATAGGGTCGGGGTCGTTGGAGTTCAAGTCATAGCTGCCTTCCGGGCTCTGAAAAGGGACCCGGTGGCGGATCAGCACTCTGCTTTCCTCTCTCTGGGATAAAGCAGGGCTTAAGAGCGTGCTGCGCAGGCTAAGCGCAGCCCGCAAGGTGTGGGAGCTGAGCAGCTGCCTCCCCACAGGGCTGCAGCTCCACGCTACCAGCTGCTGGTGGAGAGGGCCCGGCAGAGGTGGCTTTAGCCACCGCCGCGGCTCAGGGGGAGCCCAGCCTTCGCACGTGCCCCCCCAGTAGCACGAAGGCCGGCGACCCTGCACCTTGGCTGCAAGATCTCCCCGGGAGAGGTCTGCCGCTGGCCCGGCCTGCCCTGGCCAAGTGCAGGGTGCGAGAGCAGGTCAGGCCACGCTCCCCGGCCCCCAGCCTGCCCCCACGCCCGCCCGCCGCGGTGCCAGCACTCACATAATTTGGCTGGATGTCTTTGATGGTGTGCTCCACCCCATCATCCACCACCACCACCGTCACCCCGCGCCCCGTCACGTTCCGCTCCCAGACGCCCGTGACGTTGATGTCCTTCCCGGGGCTCTTGCGGTTGTTCTGTGCACCAGAAAGGAGAGCGAGGGGAGAGGAAAAGTGGAGGAGCGGGTCAGGCGCGAGGAAAGGGGCTCCCAGAGCCTTCGGGCACGCTGGCTGCGACGTGCCAGGCTGGGGGCGCAGGGAGGAGCCACAGGGCAGCCACGGGAGACTCGTCTGAGGTGGACAGCAAGCGACCGCCACTCGAGCCACGGAGCCAACACCCCTCTGCCCACCCCAGCCGCGGAAGCTGCCTCCTCCCGTCAGCACGGCGAGCGTGGTGAGCTCCAGGGGCGCTTCCTCCTGGCTGCCCGGACAGCAAGCGAGCGTTTGCCTGCCACGTGAACGCTCGTTCGTGGCCACAGGGCTGGCCCGAGCTGGCGGGCACAACAGGAGCCGCAAAACCACTCACCAGATGCCACTGCTGGGGGTATTTGGGATCGTTAAAGTGCAGGCTGCGTTTGGAGCGCTTCAGAAGCTTCTGCTCCGAGTGCCACCGCACGCTGTCGTGCTGTGCAAACAAAGTGTCCACCGACCTCCTTATTGCCTGTCTCTTATACA